GTGTTGATTTTTTAAAAATCAAGTCCATCATAGAACATAGCAAAGAAATCTCTGTTGTGAAGCTTGATCAATCACTTTCAAGATTGAAAGAATTAGAAAATACTTTGATGAGCAACATTAAACAGAGTTATTATGACTATAACAACCTTTCAAATTATCTATACACAAATTTAGACAGTTCTCTTATTTTATTCAAAGAGAAAATAGAAACCGCTTTGAAGATCATTGACTCTGCAACTATGATAATGTCATTGACTGGGCAGTTAAACTCGGTCAATACGCTGATAAAACCGTGTTTGTTATATTTGAAGCAGTGTCGTCATGACAAAAAGACTGGTTATGACCAGTTAATGGAGTTTTTGATTGACGATAATCTTCCTATACCAGACCAAACCATTACAACATCATTAAATAATACAACGAACAATACTGTAACTGAAATAAGACAAAATGTTATTGTAGATAACAACGACGTTGAAGTATTTTTAAACAACACCGTTCAACAAGATGATTTTACTGACACCCAACAACCAGAAGAAGAAATGAGTGAATCAAGTGTTGATATGGAAGAAATTGATATCACAGCAAATCGAGACAAACAGATAAAAGAATCCCTCAAAGATGAAGACTTTGATTGTACTGGTCTCTGGGATTACTCTGAGGAGCACAAAAAGGAAGATATACACAGCGAAGTCATTACCCACCTTCTTCGATTCATGAGGTTGAAACGAAACTTAACAGCTCCAAATCGCAGAGTTCAAATGTTCCGCCTCTATGAATACATGAAAAAAACTGCACTGGAATCATTTACTTTTGTATCAAGTCTTACTTCTGCATATTCCAAGGATGTATGGAAAAGGCAGATTGGTCTTGTAGTAAAAGCTCCTGGAAGTTCAGGTAGAAGTCGAGTTTTTTCTGAGGAAGAGAAAAGAAAAACTATTAACTTAATTGAACTACGGGAAGACGATAAAGATCCAGCTGGATATCCAGAGTTGCTTTCTTTTGTACTAACAACTTTGGGGAGAGAGGACATTGACCTCAAAATGTTGTACACTTCCGTGAACAAAATGGCCAAATTATCCACTATAAAAGCGGAGCCAATGGAAGAGGAAAGAGTGGAGGTACAAACAACAGAGATTGTTGCGTATTTTGAGTTTCTCTCCTAGTACGCCAATGGCATTCCAGTAAGTTTCATATTCAATTGTGATGAATCGGGATTCCAAAGGTGGGTAGATAAAATGACAAGAACGGTCATTCTTTTAAATAGACCAAGATCTGGTGTTGTCAATGTACCCATTTGACGCGCAGGAAGTCGAACAACATTGATGGCAGCAATTTGTATGGATGGCACAGCACTGAAACCTTTTTTCATTATACCAACAGAAAGTGTTGAGAAGGAGCTTTTGGAATTGGGTTTGACAAACAACAAAGCGTGCCTGAAGTACACAAAAAAGCGTTCATGACAAATCAACTATTTGAAGAGTGTATCCAAAGTGTTTTTATTCCCGAGTTGCTTGAAAAAAGAAGAAAACATGGTTATAGCGGTATGTCAATTCTTGTAATGGATGGTTACGGTTCTCATCTTGGAGTAGGCGCTGTAGAAATGTTGACAGAGAATAATGTCAAAATAATACTACCCCCACACTCATCTCATTTGTTGCAAATGTGTGATGTGGGGATATTTGGAAATCAGAAACGTGCATGTACAACTGATAAATCATTGATGAATGACACATACGGTCACCTTTCCTATATATCTGTACAAATTATGTCGATTGTCAACTCGTGGGAAAGAGTGACCACATCAAAGAATGTGGTGTCTTCCTTTATTGCATGCGGGTTAGTACAGACTACTTAAAAACTTGAGTACAGTATGTGAAGTGGTGCCATCTTCATGCACGAAGCTGAATTGCTTTTTCGAGCAGCAAGGAATTGACAGATGTATGAATGAGATGTCAAATGAAGAAGGCGATAGTATCGACAACGTCAAAAAGGAAATATACAAAACTTTAAGAAAAAACGCAAGAGATTGTGCCAACTCGCAATTAGAAACCAAGTGTGGAATGATTTTGTTTAAAAGGAAAAGAGTTAAATTGCTCCAGTTCAACAAAACAATTGTTTACGAGTGATATTTTGTTTGCTCTTTAGTTTGAAAAATTAACGAGTAAAAGATAATTAAAAACTTTTACTCGTTGAAAATTAAAACTCTTTTTTTTATTTTATGATGATTATTCAAAGTTGTTTTTCGTTAGTTAAAATGTGTTAATTTACTTTATATGTTAATTATAGTATATGGTAGAATAGTTTTATTGTTAATAATTACACATAATATTATCTATATTATTATAACTTTGAAACTATACTTATAATTAACCTAAAAAAACTCCAAGGGTTTTACTGATTCTTCAGATAAAAAATACAAGGTCTGTTTATTATCGAATCAACCATTGACTTAAGTTATAGGAATTGCGCTCTTCAGGTATATACATTTCTTCAATATTCGTTGCAACTATGGTGCTAGAGGTTTGTTTTATGCACATTAACATCCAATTGTTTATTTTTTCAATTTGTGTGTTTGAAACATTCATTTTAACTAACGTTGTGTTCGTTTAACTTATTATGACATGCATGTTAATTCTACTAAAAGTGTTTGAAGTGACCACACACACTTGACTGACCCATTTCTTATGTGCGTCATTTTAAAGGGGTTTTTGGATTGCTCTTCTGAAAAGAAGGAAAAGAGAACTAAATAAGTTAATGATTATTTTCTAAGTTTTTATAATGTTTCAAAAAAAATAATTTAAAATAAAAACAAAATTAAAAACATTTTTGTTGTTTTTACAATGACGGTTATTGAATATATCGTAGAATGATTCCACACAAAAGAGAATATTCTGGGCGGGACAACGTTGGCGACTGGGACAACGTTTTACAACTTACTCTATACAATTTAACAAATTTTTATTAGTAATATAAATAATACGAAAATAAACTGTTTTCATAAACAAATAAAAATGGTAATAAAAATTGATTAAATCATATTATCAGATATTCAAGTTTTTTAAAAAACAAAATAAAAAACACTTAAAAAGTGTGCAAGATTGTGGGTTTGATATAACCAATAAGATTGGTTCAAACCAAAATAAAATAAGAAACACAACAAAAATATTGTTGTTGAAATAAAAAATGGATTTCACACAAACTAAAAATACTTAGAGAACCAAATAACATCAAAATATTACAATATAAACCCATTGCTTACTATTAATTTTGTTTGTTATTCATCTAACACAATAATAACATTAAATTAATTATCTTATATGGTAAAACAATGCTATAAAACATCAATTTAAGTCGAGAAAAATGGCAGTTTTGGATACATTATACAATGCGTGACAAAAGAATAATAAATTGTATAGTAATATTAATTAAAAATAAACTATAATATATCACTTGTGAATAATAAAAACGATAGTAAATTTATTATATATTATTATTGATTATAACAATAATAATATTAAAATCAAACCAAATAAACACCTGCACAACTATAATTATATTGAGCCAAGCATAAACAGCCTTGATTATGCCATTTCATTTCTCATATGCAACTTTCTTTTTCTCATGTCTGTCGTTAATGCCTGAGTACATTAAATTCGATCATAGGAGACGATGCTTAAAATAACTGGTTTCTGATATCGACATCGCATTTCATGATTGAGTTGTAAATTGTCTCGTGGATACCTGATGCTTCCATACCAAGGAATGATGGCTAGTGGTGTGCTTCTGGACATCTGAATCTCTCGTTTCCAATGGTAATGACTTGACCATTTGATAGTTAATGTGATTTCTAAAATTCTAATGATGGGGAAGCCTTCTGCATTTCGTGTTGATGTCAAGAGCAATGTAGTAAACACTAATCTGTGTTTGTAGTTCACAAAATAATTAGTTTATGTTTTTTATTTTTATTTATAAACATGGAAAACAAGTCTTTTGTTTTTAATTTATTACTATGAATGAAACAAAATTACGTGTACTTTCAGAAAATAACAATAAAAACACAAGAAAAAATAAAATAATTTGCAACAATTTGTCTTGGATTATTATGTTGGTTAGTAGTGTTTTTATGTGAACTATAAATTCAATTGTAATCAATCTCTAATTATTCAACTCTTTTTAATTCTTCTTGTTTTTTTTGTCAAGTATGTTTCTGTTTTTCGATAATTATTTTTATTTTTATATACAACAACATTATATTATCATTTATTCAAATAAATATATTATTTAAATAATTATTGATAGTAGAAGAAAAATATAATCGATACTAAACACAATCAGTTTAAAAAACCAATTTTCTTAAAACTTTTATCAGTTGTGTTGTTGTATTTATAAAAAATAATATAATTGTTTACTAATATTTTTTTATTATAATTATTATATTAAAGTAGTTGTGTATATATTAAAAATACAACAAAAAAGTTGTTTTGTTTATTTTTTATTTAATTTAGAAATTTGAATCATCATTTATTATTTGATAGATTTCAAAAAGTAGCAATAGTATATTTTTACAATAATTTGTTTATTATTGTAAATTATTGTATATTAATTTGGATTCAAGACAACAAAAAATATATTTATCCATCAAACATTTGAAAATAATTCCACTCAATGAAACATAAAAACAAGCTAATAATCCAATTTTAAATTAGTTTCATTAATAAATATAATCTATAATAACAATAAAAATTAGTTATAATTTGTATTATTTTAAAATAAATATAATCCAAAGTATAAATTAAATTTATAATGTTTTTTTTATTAATTTAAATTATTTTTATATAATTCAATAATATTTAAAAATTTTATTCATTGATCGTTTTTAATAGTAATATTATTATTTATTATATGTATGTAAATCAATGTAATATTATAATATGTTAAATTAAAACAGTATATTTCTATCGCAAACATTTTTATCGAATTAAAAAAACATAAACCTTATGCAAGAAGACGAGATTGTTGGCACATTTAAATGGAAGAAAGAAGGAGAAGCACCAAAAAGCTCACGACACGTTAAAGCTTCGCCTGATCCGACTTACTCGTTTGATCCCAAAGGAAGTAATTTAACTGAAGTTGAGTGTTTTAGGTTGTTTTTTGTGAAGAGATAACAAATAACCTTTTGTTGTTTTCAAATAAAAAAATAGCCAAAGAACATAAGACTGGTGATAACAAACTTTCTAAAACGAGCATCCTGAGGTACCTAGGAATTCTTCTCAACATGGGAGATCACCATGATGTCATTAATCCCGTGGAAGAGCTTTGGTCAATCGACCACGGAAAATCTATTTATAGAAATAGCATGCCACGTGACATGTTTAAATTCATTTCTTCACACATCGAAACTTACGATGTGGGCCAGCCAGATGATGTTTGTGATGATGCATCAGACACTTCAGATGATGGGGATGTCGAAGAGAAAGAGGAAGTTGATAACGGACCAGAAGGAGAGTATTTCAACTGCGCGGAATATTCAGATCGAGATTTCAGAGATCTCTCTGAAGAGCAACTCAGGAAAGATGTCAGAATCAAAAGGGGCATCGTTGGTAGTGGAGTTGTTTAAGTCGTCCCTGCAATAACTCCAAATGCACACGACAACTTTTCTAAAATTAGAGTGATTTTAGATAAGTTTATTTCTAACCTTGTCAACCAAACCTAGTACAAACCTAGTAATAGTGTTTCGGTTGACGAACATTTGTGTTCTTATAAAAGGCATATGTAGGCTAAAGTGTTTATTAAGTCTAAGCCTGGACGTTATAATATAAAGTTTTGGGTTTGTTCTATTTTTACCAAATGAGTTTTATTTATGAAGTCAAAAATGACGAATAGTTATTATTGGTTTGACATGTATGATCAAATTTAATAATTTAATTATTTGTTTATTTGAGTTATTTATAGTTTTCTGACTCGTAGATGTGTGCTGACTGTGAGACAGGAATGACTCTAAACCTCCAAATGTACTGTGGTAAGTGTGGTGGTAAGGAGGACAATCAGGGCTTTAGAGTGGTCAGGGACATGGTGCTACCCATGTTATGCCGTGGTAACAAGTTTACCGTTGTGTGTGACAACTTCTTCTGTACGTTAAGGTTGTCACACTACCTTGCTTCATGTGGGTGCCAACTTTTGGGAACCATGAGGATTAATAGGAAAGAACTTCCTGACGAAGCCAAGACCATCAAAGGGAGAACTCCCGATACCACCATCTTTTTCTCGAAAGGAAAGTGTAAGCTCATCTCTTCCTTCAACGAGAAAAAGAAGCTGGTATTGGTCTTGTCAACCTGCCACGAAAAGAATGAAATTGAAGTCGTCGAGCAGGATGTGTTCATTGGCAAAGAAAAAATGACAATACACAAACCCCAGCCCATCCTTGATTACAACCACAAAATGGGTGGGGTTGACACTGTGGATCAGATGACTAGGTATTATACGTGTAGACGTCGAACAAACAGGTGGGACATCAGGGATTTATATGATATGATTGATATAGCTGCCTTAAACGCGTATAAAACGTACTCAAATTACCACCCTTGCAAACGAGTGGATTTTTTGAACAATATTTCTGGTGCTTTAATGAAAATGAAATGATTTTTCTATTTTGTTTGGTTTTTTATAAAGTAGGAACTGTTTATTTCATTCAATACGTGCTTTTTTATTGAACCTCGAAAAAAATTATCGTGAAATAAAATAAAAATAGGGGTCATTATACCAGTTTTTTCTTTTTTACTTATGGATAAGTTTTTAAAAACTTGTGTTATAACAACATCGTGATGTCGTTACTCAACACCATAAACAACCGTTGGTAAAGTATATGCATGAGTATTATGAGTATTATGGTGATAATGGTGTTATAATGGTGTTTGCTGATAATTCTATCAAATTGTAAATTTATTATTACAAAACTATAATTTATTAAATTTCCATTTTAATAAATAATATTTTTTATTATATAATATAGTTCAAAATATTTTTTTATTATTTGTTAAGTTTTTTGCTATTTGTTTTTTTGTTTATAATTTGTATTATCCCTTTATTTTTAATTTAAATTATTTGTTTGTTGCCCAAAAATGCATAATTTAAAAATGCATAAACAGTGAATGCAAAATAAGCATTTGATTATCATATACAATAACATTTATATGAAAATGATAATATCAAATCAATTTTGCCCTTTGTTTTTGTTTGAAAATGATAAAAAATAAAATAACAAATAATGAATTCATATCTTGCTTCTTTGACAGTGGCACGACTTGAAACTCAACGGGTGACCATAAAACCTCATGGTGATCAAAGTTTATACAAACGCGACTATATTGACTGTTTAAGTCATTTTCGATAATTTTTCTCGATTTTGTGATTTTTGATACTTTTGAAAATGTATTTTAGTTATTTTTTGTTTATTTTATACTTATGTTCTCTAAGTTTTTTTTTCAAAGTCGGAACAAACAAAAGTGTCTTATCGTCTTATCTTATTTCTATCATAAAAAAATAGCAAAACCCAATTTTTTAAATTATTTTATTTTTCAAAGTTTACAAAAAAATCTATTTATTTTCCCTTGTTATTGTTTTTGAGATCAATTCATATTGAAATTTCAAGATACCTCAAAGTCTGTTATTTTTTTCTTTTTTTGTTATTTGATGATGTAATTGATTTTGAATAATCTGGACCAGTATGTTTTATGATACAGTTTGGTCTTTGTTATATTTTATAATTAATTTTATTATTGTAATAGGTTGTAGACATCTCAATAAATATTTGATCTGACTTTTCCATTGAACTGTGACTTGTTTCTGAAAGGATCAAGCAAAAAATGAAAATTTGTTCATCCCAACTTCAACAAAAAATTCACTTTTTTACTATAATTTATAATTTTTTACTATAAAATTTTACTAGAGCCGTCGTTCCAGGGTGTCTAGCTTTTTTTGAAAAAATTAAAGAAAAAAGGTCACATTTACATTAAAATTGACTAATATTTTTAATTTTTTACAAATTTTGATTTTTCTCGTCCTTGAAGGGTTAATAATAATAATTTTTATTTTTTGATAATTAATTCATTATCATTAATGAATTAATGATAATGAATTAATATATTCATTAATTGTTTTTCACAATAATTAACTATAAATTGTTATATAATTAATAAAATTATAATTAACAACCCTTGAATATTATTAATAAATATTTTTTTAAAAAATATAATATTATTTGTCAAGTTGCAAACATCACAAAAAACATTTAATGAACTCAAATAATGGAAGTCTTTTTAAATAATACAACAAAAGGAACTGATATATTACATTATTTCGCTCAAATATTAAAAAGACTTTGTAAAGTGATCTGGATTAAATTACACAATAGGAATTATATATATAAACGTTATTTTTAAAAGACATTCTTTACAATTTTTTTTCTAATAATTTGGTTTATTTATAGAAAAATTTTAACTTAAAAAAAGCAAACTTTTAAAAAAACAATTACGAGTTTTTTTATTTTTTTAAACATTTTTTGGTTTTTATATAGTATATTTTATCAGCCAAATAAACCACATGATTATTTATTTAAATTATTTAAAAATAAAAATCTATCTTCATTTTAATTCTCTTGCAATTTCTAGCATGATAAATCTTAATTCAAACAATCAAACATTTCATAATTTTATATGCAAATTAAACATAACACGAAGTTTTCAAACCAGATGTTGGTTTGTTTTGTATTTATTTTTAAAATTATTGAAAACCCAAAAATATCAATTTTTTATCAATTGCTTAAAATTTAAAATTATTATACAGTTTTGAAAATTTTCCTAAATCCTAATAGGGAGATGGTCAATTGTGCTTTAATTTATTATATGAATCGTTAAAGTTTAATTAAGTTTGAATATTATTCTTGTTATTAGATAAAAGTTTGTTTCTTTAGAAACCCCTTTTTTATCATTTAACTATATTTAATTATACTGAAATTATTTTTTATTAGAAAATAATAAGTAGGTTTTTGAATTATTTTTGACTGAATTAAACTATTACATATTGTTAAAATTTCTGTGTTTTTTGCAGATTACATAATATTATTTTGTTATTGAAAATATATTGATAATATTATCAATACTAAATATTGACCCTTCACCCAGTGAAAAGAATTTATCTATTTTTATAGATAAATATTACTCAACAAAAAAACATTTTTTTTATTGAAATTTAAAAAAAATATATTTTTTGAATTTTTTTGTTTTGAAAATTACTCTTTTTTTCTCCGATTGAAAACATTTTCTCGTTTTTTTCGTTTTAATTAATTATTTATTTAATTATTTTACTTTTAATTGTTTCTATTTTACATTTCGTTTTTTTGATATGTATATATTTAATAATAATTTATAACATTGTTAATAATTTACTAAAATTATTCATATTGTGGTTTTCGACCATTTCTTAGTTTAAATTGTTTTGTGGTATACATTATATTTGTTCATAAAAGTCTCATCATCGCCATTATTAATAATAGTAATTAATGTATTATTAAATTTTAACAATCTAAATATATAAATTTGGTATAGGTTACCAGAATTGTATAATTAAAAAAATAATAAATTTGTGTTCATATTGATATCCAGTGTTATTTGTATTAAAGATTATTGATAAAAAATAATATTAACAAAAATAACAAGTCAAAAACCATTGATTACAAATTAATATCCTGACCATATCTTTACTAAAAGTTAATGCTTCATCATTTTTAAAAAGATTTTTAATATCTTTAATGGTCTGTGGATAACTTTAAATAATGCAATCAAAAAAGTACAACATGTAAACTCCACAGTCCATAGTGTTAGTCTGTTCATGAACTTTGATAGTTGTAACAGGATATCTCCCTCTTGAATTAAAAAACACTCTTAGTTGCTTTTGTTTAGCATCTTCATTGGTGGAACCGATATTTTTTTTATTATTGAATTTTATGATCTTTTTAACAATTTCTTCACTTTTTTGAATTTTGATATTAACCGATTTAGCTATCTCATCTATTAATT